GCGTACCCGCTTTCGTATACGTCGCACCCTGATGAGGAATGCGGGAACTAGCAATTTTTATTTCTCGTGCGTGGAGCAGTAAAGTGTACTAATTTATTGAAATAATTACGACACTCATCCCGTTTTTGCACTTTCGCATAATGTGAGTAATCGGACATTAATTAAATAGGACCATCTGCTTGCATTTTGGTAACACGGCATGTGAAAAATCCTTGCTGGATATAGCTCGAGTATATTCTTTTGTTTATTTATACAGCCCTTCAAGTTCAGAAAGTTATAAAAATATTAAATATCGCGTGCAAGAGCAGTGCTCTCGACTTTGCAACATGCATATACTGATGAGACAAGTCCATGAGACCTCGAATACTTTCCCGCTACGATGTTACGCATCAACGAAAAATTCAATATCTCCGGATTATCAACATTCCAGAGTGTTGACACCTCTGTCAGAGTGCTCTGCTTTACCATTACTATAACATCACCATCTCTTTCTTAAACACTAGCTTTTCATAATTCTTTCTCTGTTCCTCGTTTTCGAATGCCGCGTAGTGTCAAATAGAAGAATGCATGAATAGGTTTACGTTCCCACTGATTTTTAACGTTTAGAAATGTGAGAGTGATTAATCTGTGAGCATTGTTCGTATCTTCTTCGTTTGTCTTCTCAATAAATTTCGAGGTGAAGTGTTTTTAAATACTGATTGAAATGCATTGTAAAATAAACTTTTTATGAAAATAGGTATGTTATAAATTCGTATTTCTTAAGAACCTTTGAAGATTGGTCGAATTTTTTCGTTAACTTTTTAATATTGTATGTAGGAGTGTATAAAAGGTATATTAAAGTAAAATAAACTAATTTTTGTAAAATACATTTATCTATTCAAACAAATTAGTGATCAATATAATATACGTAATAAAATATGATAACACGTGCTTTAGCAGAGATTATATATAAATAAATTGACTCTTTATATTTCGTGAATAATTCTGTAAAATTAATTTTACGCATTTGCAGATAAAATATATCAAGTGTAAATGAAATAATAGAAAAATGAGTTCTCTGCAACAAGGTAGCAGATTCTTACCTTTTTCAAATAATAATATACAAAGGAAGCAACTATCAATGCAAGGTACAACAAAATTTCATAATATATTTACTTCATATTTTTAACATTACTCTTAAACATTCAAATTTATGTGTTTCTCAAAAATTTTTAAAACAAATAAAGTATTAATTTATGAAAGGTTATGAGTATTGTTTTTCAAAATATCTAATATGTATTTCATAGGTGGTCTTCCACAAAGTTTAAGTGGCAGTGAAACTGATGTTTCAACTTCAAATGAGAATTTAACCAATGAAGATCGCTATGTTATAAGACATACAGCTCGTCAAGAACCTCAAGGTCAAGAAAATCAACAGCAAAGTCCATCCAGATCTTCCAGTCATAAAGAAAATATACCAAATATACAAGTAAATATAAATTCATTTGTCACTATTTATTAAGTCATAATATATTTTCAATTATTTTATTGGGAGTAATTCATATTAATCACATGCATGAAAGTTATTTATCATAGTTTTTAATTCTTGGAGAATATTGTCTTTGAGATAGATACGAATATTCTATAATGCCTAGTTGTCCAATTAGATTATTCTTGCATACCTCAAATTGCTATTACTGTTATTAAGTTACGTAAGTGTAAACTACTTTATTGCAATCTAGGGTAACCTGCTCAACAGAAACAGTTTGAAGGACAGTCTGAATGGTTCAAACAGGAACAGTTTGAAAGAGAATTTGAATGGTTCTAATCGAAATAGCCTTAAAGACAGCATTAATGGTTCTAATAGAAATAGTTTGAAAGATAATTTAAGTAATCGTACCAGTGTAGGTTCGAATAGAAGTAGCTTAGATGTATCTACAAGCTCCTACAACACGCTTATTATACACAATGCTAATGATGATAACTCATGGGTACCAACTGGAAGGTAATATACATTCTTAACAAAATGTTGCAAGATTGGTAGGAGTATTTTTATTCCTGTAATTTCTTATAAATATTTATTGAGTGTCAATGTTTAATTTTAGGTTGTCAGGTGTAGTACGAGAACATGGAGATATGGCTTACCTATATTGTGATGGTGGAGGAAAAGGACATTCAAATAGTCCCACTATGCAGTCTTTATCAAATTTATCTCATGAAGATCATGTTTATGAACAACCTAATAACGGAGGATGTCAAGAAATTACAGACATACCAGACGATTATCTTAGTCAATCACAGGTGATTATTTCAGTAACATTAGAATACGTAACAAACGAATATACAAATTTTTTAACTAATCTTTTATTGTAATAAATTTCATTAAATACGTTTAATTTCTTACGTTCATTATTTTATTTTGGTTAAACCAAGCAGGTATTAAAACATCTTGCAAAAGAAGTTAAAGTACCATCTTACAGTAAATTAACGAATAATGGAGGAAATATTGATATGAGAATGAGAGATAGCGATAGAGGGAAACAAAATGATAGTGAATCAGAAGACAGACCACCACCTTCATATATGTCTGTTTTGTTACCATTAAAAAATAAATCTCGACTTCTTGGGCCAATTGAAAAGTTAACATTGTCAAGATCACAACCTGACTTGTCTAGAATCGGCAAACCAGATATTGATAACTACAATTTGCGGGCCACATCTCCACGGTGATTTAATTAAATTAATTATTGGAATTAGTTAACGTTTAATGATTGTTTTGTATAAATAATATTTTTGCTTAATATTCTAATAGACCTCAGACAAAAGGGAGAGAAGAGACGGAATCTGCAACAGGTGAAATTTGGGCACCATCAGAAATGATACAAATTGTAATTCAAGAGAATAGTGCTTTAAAATTAGAGTTAGAACGATGTTATAGCAAAGTTGCTAAATCTCAAAAGTTGGAACAAGAAATCACGAAAGTACACAGGGCTCATGAGGAATTGGCGGCGTCAAGCGAACGAAGAGAGAAACTAGAACGAGCTGCTAGATTGAGGTTACAAAATGACTGCAGACGATTAACCGAATTAAATCGCGCGTTGAGAGATCAAATAGATTTATTATCAGCACGTACAGATAGCCCGCCGATCGTAGAATCTATGAGGAAAGAATTGACGCAACGAGAATTATTAATTGGCCAATTGATTACACAGAGTATGTTTTAAAGTATATTTTATTAATTATTAACAAACAATTGCCATCGATAAAAATATTGTACGGACTCTATTGATTTTTATGCCAGATAAAGAATTAGCCGCAGCGAAAGAAAGGCAGGAAATCGAATTAGCAGCACAACGAGCAACTTTACAGGAGCAGCGTACACACATAGATATTCTAGACACTGCTCTTACTAATGCACAGGGCAATGTAGTACGTCTTGAAGAAGAGGTAATTTTTCCATTTTTCAACAGTTTAATATTTATAAGCTGTTTGTTATATCCATTTTTTACAGTGTCGGAAAAAGCAAGTATACGTAGAAAGAGTAGGCCAACTTCAACGAGCTTTGTCTTCTCTTCAAGCGTCTAGCGATAGAAGAGAAGAAACAGAGAGACAGTTGAGAGGTCAATTAGAACGGGAGTTAAGAGAAGGCGGCGGCGGTGGTGGCGGTGGTGTTAATGGTAATGAACAATCTTCCAATGGAGAAACGATCGCAGAGTTAAAACGACGAATACGCGAAAGAGACGAAAAAATTATGTCACTCGAGGGTGATGTTGCGAAATGGGAACAGCGTTATCTCGAGGAAAGTGCACTAAGGCAAGCGGCAATTGATGCAGCTAGTCTACCAAAGTAAGTTTGCTCGATTAACAAATTTTTCTTGTCATATGCATATTAATTATAATTTATATTTTTAAATAATCAGGGACGCCAAGATAGCTGCGTTAGAAAAAACGAGTCAAGATGCCGAGAAATTAATTGCAGAGGCACGCTCCGAGAAAATGAGACACATGGATGAAGTACATGCTGCACAAAAGAAATTGGCTGATCTTGAATCTAGGTAATATTATTATTTCACACGAATTGCGTATATCTGTAGTGACGTGTATAGAATTGTATTAATACTTAACTGTTTGTTTCATAGAATGAAGGATCTAGAATCAAAATTAGCCGAAAGAGATGCAATGATTAGAGTCCTTCAAAAACATACGTATGATAAGGATAGTAGTAGCAGTAGCGGTGTTGGTAGTTATCCTGCTGCACACTCGTCTCATTCAAGTACATCAGCGGATCACCACACTGCGTTAACAAGCACGCCAGAACTTGGTAATTAAGAATTAACAAAATTTATCAATATAATATTTTATTTGTTGATTAATTGTTTTTAATTATTATATTTATGTTTAGTAAGCAGTGTCTTGGGTGGTGGTAGTGGTTATGGAAGTACTGGTTCGTATGGTGTTACGGACAGTTACAAATATAGGAAGCAAGGCAGCTTCGAGCAAACGAATAAAAGTCTCGATGATCAATTAAAAGAACTAGACTCCCAGCTACTTAGTAAGGTATGCAAGATCCAAGTAAACGTATAGTTAGTATAAAATCGTAGGAACCATTTCGTCACTGTAAAATTATTCTTCCATAAGAAGGAAAACTATGTAAAAAACGGGTTAAACGTAGAATTTTATTTATTCATCATTTCAAAATTATTTTATGAAATTTTATTTTTATTTTTTTCTGTGTACTCTTTTTGCGTTCAACATGATATTTTGATTTTGTGATGTTAAATTCTTTAGTGTTTACTTTAGCTTTATAGCTACAGAAGGCTATGAAAATATTACAGATTGTACAATCAAAGGTATTTTAATGTTCTATTTGGATTAGCTGTGTGAACAAGAATAGTTGATGTGTTGCTCGGAGCATCTTCTATTTGACGATTAAATAAGTTCCACCCTGAAAGCGCATTTCAGCAATGTTCTATAAAGAGTTTTACGATACACCAACTATTCTCATCTTGTGTTTACTATTGCCGTTATTTGCATAATTATGTGTGTTTTATTAATTCAGTTTTTACGAATTTTTATATTTTTTTTATTTTGATTTGTTAGCGAAACTTATACAAAGTAAGCTTTTTATTTGAAACAACTTTTCAGAACATTTATATTTTATTAGAAATTTATGATACTGCATTATAAATAGTTTTATTATCGTTAACTTG